CCTCTACATCCAGTGAAAGGACCTAATAATTGCTCCTGGCTAAGAGAGGTCTGTATTGAAGCAGCAAGTGCGGGCCTAATGTTTTGTCAGTGCGATAGTATTATATAGCAGTCGGCCGATTGGAAAGGAAGAAATTTAAACAATTTTTGAAAGGGACTCGAAGATTAAATGTTTAGAATCAAGAAATCACGGCTTTGTAATACTTGAAAGATTACAAAGATTCAAAGGTAATCAAAAGATTAAAAAGTATATATATTTAGGTGTGCCAAAATCTTACACGACCTTAAACCCGATCTGAAAAATTTTGGGTTTGGGTCAACCCGTTTGTCATATAGGTCGGGTTCAGGTTTGTAATTCCAATTCGTTTGTATAACTGGGTCAGATTCTTTTTTACCCGAAAACCTAAAACCAACTAGAATTGACCCGTTTGTTCGGTTGTCATGTCAAATGTCAATTTTGTAAGGCGCCAGGCATCGCATCTTATCTCCAATAGAGCACGGGTTCGAGGCTTCGTGCTGCCACCGGCGACAAAGTCTGGTTGAGTTCGAGGCTTCGAGCTATCACTACCACCAATGGCTCTGAGCTATCGCCGCCTTCGAGTTTGAGCTAACACTACCTTCGAGTTACTGTCTAGTCGAGGATGCAAGGCTTTGTGCTGCCATCGGTGATAGTGTCTGGTCAAGTTTGAGGCTTTGAGCTCTTATTCTGTCTGTTTTATTAACAAGAAGAAGAGGTTTTAAAAAAGAATGGATTTTAACTTATTAGAATTATGATTTTAAACTTAAGAGCAAGTAATATTAGATTTAACTATTTTTGGTTTTAACTTATTAGGGTTAAATTTCTTGCAAGAAGTAATAGGTTTTTAAAATAATGCATTCTAACCTAACAAGATTCAAAATTTAAATGAAAGAGCAAGTAATGTAGGATTTAACAATTTTTTGTTTTAACTTACCAGTGCTAAATTTCATGCATAAACTATTTCTTTCATCAAAATTTCACTATTATATTATTTTTTAAACAAAATTCTGAAATTGAAATATTTTTTTTCTTTAGAAGAACACATTTCAAATCAAGATTTTAATATAAAATAGGACAATTAGTTGTGTAAAATTTAAAAAAAATTAAAATTTTAATCGATCACCTCAGAAAGGTGTGGTTTGGGCTGCTAATTTAATAGCTCTGCCATTGTAGCATGTGCAATAAGGAATCTAGAAAATGATATTGATGCCAAGTCATCCCAGCTCAATCCAAGTCAGTCGGTCTCAAGCTAAACAAATAAGGTGACTATGACCTATTAGATCCAAATCTTTCCAATTTTTTTACCCTTTGGATCTACAAAATACCCCTCTTAAGGGTAAGAAAGAAGTAAGGTCTTCTTATGTAGTCTATAGTTCTCTCCTATGAAAGAAAGGAAAAATGTGTTGGTAAGATTTTACAAATCATTGAAGGAGGACCGTTGTCATGCCATAGTGGTATAATGATAGCATTCATGTAGTATTAGGGAAATTTGATAATTTCTATTAGGAGGGGGGATGTCTAACATTCATAGTCGAGCAACGATGGTCTAATAATGAAGATCACATAGTGTTTCAATGGTGGTTCTTGGGTGAGTGCTAGACTGTAAAGATTGAGTAGAGTTTTGATAACAATATTTTTTTGTTGGTCTGATGATAGTGGCTAGGTGATGTTTTGACAATAGTGGTTGGGCAATGGTCTAACGGTGGTGATCGAGTGTAGGTTTAGTAATGGTAACGAGGCAGTGCATTCATTACTTATGAAAATAATTAGGCATCAATTTAATAACATCAATCAGGTGGAAATAGTTTGAAGGTGGCAGTCGGGCATACTACAATAATGGTGGCCCTATGACTACAATTTTTTAGAAGTTTAATGGAGTTTCTTGACTAGATATCAAGCGATGTTCTAACCCCAATGGTGCTGCTACAATACAACAACATTAGTTTGGAAAAAAAATTGGCAATGAAGAGTGATCAACAAATTAATGGTGGTGGTAGGCAACTTATAGCGATAGTCGGGTTGTAGTTTTATAGTGGAGGTCAAGCATCAATAGTATAATAGTGGTGGTTAGATAGTGCATTGAAGTTAGTGGTCTAATTGTTGGCCTCAAGGAACCATAAACTCTATAATATAACTGCAAACTTTCCTTGAAGAAGGTGTTGAATTTGCACTTTAAGAGAACCATATTTATGGGTGATCAAAACTTTCAATCCTTATAATAAGGCTCTTATCTTATAACAAAAGAGAATTTGATTTTCCTTATGTGGTAAATAACAATTTTAAGGCTAACAAAACCCATCTTTGCACTTCTTTTGAAAAGTTACACTCTAATATCAATTATACAACTATCGACATAGTCATTTATATATTTGGAGTCATTTAAGGCATGGTGAAGTTAAGCTAGAATTTTCTTGACAACTATAATAGATATCATGGGAGAAGAGAATACTTGTTATAATATGCTGATGTCAAATGTTTGATTATTGTAGGAGAATTCATAAAATCTCTTGTGTCGTTAATAAATTATAAGATGATATAATGTATAGTTAGTCGATATAAAAAGCCCCACAAGAATTCTAAGAAAGTAATATGTGATGCTATGATTTTAGCTTTTAATGATTTATAAATTAGATTAGATACTAAGGAGGGTAAAAGATATATGTATCAGTTATCTAAACAAAGAGATAGGAGTAGTAAGGATTTAGTTCAAGTGAAGTGTACTAAGGATGAATATCAAAAAGTGTTTTTATTAAAAGAGGATATTCAACAATGGTGGAGGAGATATTTTGCTAAACTTTTTAATGAAGATTATGAGAATGAGATTGACTTTAGTGACCATAGCACCCTAAATGAAAATAAAGATTTTTGTTTTTATCGATGTTTTAGTAAAATTGAAGTTAAAGTAGATTAAAGAAAATGAAGTTTGGAAAAGCCTTTGGACCTGATGATATTCCAATAGAGGCGTGAAAATGCTTAGGGGATGAAGGAATTTCATAGCTTATTAAACTTTTTAATATTATTTTAAGACTAAAAAGATGGTAGATGAGTGGAGAATGAGTGTATTGATTCTTATTTTTAAGAATATAAGTGATGCACAATATTGTGCGAATTATAGAGAAATTAAATAATGTGTCATACTTTAAAACTATGGGAGAGAGTTATTCAGAATATGTTGTAGCGTGACACTATTGTTTCTCAAAAATCAATTTGAATTAATATCAGGTAGGTCTACTATAGATGCTATACATTTATTGAGAAGTTTGATGGAGAAGTATAGAGAGAATAAGGAGGATCTACATATGATTTTTATTAATTTAGAGAAGCATATGATAAAGTTTTGAGATAAGTGTTATGGAGAGTTCTACATAAGAAAGGGGTTAATAATGCTTATATTCAAGTCATTTTGGATTTGTATACATAAGCCATTACTTGTGTTCAAACATAAGGTGGTTTAACTAAGTATTTTCCTATTTCAATTGGATTACATCAAGGATCCGCCATAAGCCCATGTCTTTTTGCTTTCATCATGGATGTTCTCACTAGAGATTTGATGTTGTACCCTGGTGTATGATTTTTCCTAATGATATTTCTCTTGTTGATAAAACTAGAGAGGGAGTTGATGGTAAACTTGAATTATGGAGGATAACCATAGAGTCTAAAGGCTATCATTCAAGTAGATCTAAAACTTAATATATGGAGTGTATTTTAGTAATAATAGATCTTGTTGGGGGATTATAACTTTGGGTTATCAATTCATTAATAAGAGTACATATTTTAGATATCTTAAGTCTATTGATGATAGTGAAATAGATGAAGATATTATTAGTAGAATTCAAGTTGGGGCTTGCTGTGTGATAGAAAAGTCCTTCTCAAACTTAAGGGAAAATTCTTTAAGATGGTAGTGGTACATGCAATGCTTTGTGGTGCAGAATGTTGTCCTTATAAAGAGAAGAAAAATATTAAGTTAAGTGTTATAGAGATGAGGATGCTCAGGTGGATGAGTGGCTTCAATCTTAAAGACATGATACGAAATGAGCATATAAATGAAAAGGTTAGAGTACGTAGCTCCAATGGAAGATAAGATTATAAAGAGTCGCTTAGATGGTTTGGTCACATAAAATGGTGACCTTACGATGACCGGTAATGAAAGTAGATGCATTTGATTTGACTTATGTTAAGAAAGGTAGAGGTTGAACTAAAAAGACTTGGTTAGAAAAACATTAGAAATGACATTTCTTTATTAGATTTAGATGAGAATTTGGCACTTAACTAAGCACAATGGACAAAATGGATTCAAGTATCTGACCCCACATAGTGGGATAAAGGTGAAAGAAAAATTTTTAATTGTATAACCCATAAATGTATGTTCCATTTGGCTTATTAAATTTTTATAATTGTGTGATTAGAAGTGTTGATGATAACTAATGAAATCTTAAAATTTTTTTCATAACAATGATCAAATATTCTATAAACTTGCCGCTCAAAAGGTATTATGCCTGTATGGATGCATGCATCTTTTTTCTTATGTGTAAGCATGATTTGTATTTTACCATAGTACTGACAGACTTCACTAAGGATGTAATTCTAATCAAGCTTTTAGTTTAAAATAAAGATGATGATTATGTATTCTTTTAAAAATTATGCCTTCCTTAGGTTGTTAGTTTAAGGCTTCATTTTAATTAGTGGTAGACTATACTGAGAAAAATCCATCATAAATCTTTGAACAAAGATGTTCAACCAATCCAAGATTATTTGTCAAAGTGTCACTCAATGAAATTAATCTATATGAAAGAGGTCAAGATAATTTCACCAAGGATTTTAGATATATTCAAGGTTATTTATTAAAGTTTTATCTTATGGCATAA